GTCCAGCCTGAACCAAATTATTTCGAATTGAATCTCGTTACTTTCATCATGACTTGGGCTCGTGTCGGTGTATGAATTAACTATCGGCCAATCGCGGCCAGTTCCCGCTCCTTTTGTCGGAGGGCTTCGCGCATCAACTCGGCCTCTCGCTCTAGTTGTGCGCGTCTTTTGACTGACGGGTCAGTTAAGGAAGAGATGCCGGGCAAAGATTGTTGATGCCCAGCGTGTCCTAAAGAAGACTGAAGTGTCTGAGGCCGATTGATATGCGGTTCCATCCGCGAATCATCGCGAGTCTCGGTGCGGTTAAGAATGGATGAGATCGAGCTTAAGCGGCCTAGGGGCGACGGATTTGCGGAGGACATGATGGGTGGGAGCTGATTTGACTCCATAGGGGTTGTATGAATGGAATCTGACGTGCTTTCCGCCAGGGTCCGTTTCTGCGGCAGGTTGATCGAGTTCGGAGATGCAGATCGTCGTCCATAAGACACCGGGGACGGGCCCAACCTCTCTGGCTCCAGCAACTTGGGAAATTGGTGGTGCTGCATGGGGGCCGAGCTGATATGGAAGCCAGTAAAATCAACCGGGGGCGGTGCGAACGGTAGAGGTCGGGGCATGTGATCCATAGGCTCTCCACTCATGTATCGATAATGATCATCGTGGGAGTGAGCCAAAGCAGCGGGGGATGCTTCAGGGGATGCTGATGATCCGTTCGAGGATTGGGTAGTGGCGGTGGGAGATTGATCTCGCAGGGCTGGTACGACACGTTTCCGGCGCTTGATGATCGACTTCTTCATTGTGGTTGGGCGATAACAGCCATGGAGTTTATAATACAATCCTGTTCGTGAGTTAGATGGAGGTGCTTTCAGATCGTAGGTGGAATGAATGCTTACCACAGGCGTTGCAGATGGGATGACCGTGCTCATCCCGACGCCAAAGTGGTGTTACTGTCGTACCGCAGTTTTGACAAGCAACGAGAGTGGAGTTTCCGTCCGCAGTGGATGGAAGCTTGGGAGGAGTCTCAACCTGCGGGGGTGCAGGCAAAATTTCAGTCTCTGGGGCAGCAGCGCGACCCCATTGGGGCTGGACCGCAGGAGTCCCCCGTTGAGAGGACTTGTAGATACGATTGTTGTATGCTGGGCAGCCGTCGCACCCTTCCGCACCTCCAGTACCATTGCAACTTCCACCACCGGGGCAAGAGCCCTTGCAGCCGCCTCCTGATGGTGTGTTCGTCTCGGCTTGAGGAAGCGGGACGTTTAGCTTATCGGTTTCCGAATTTTGCTGGGCACGATTTCGTTTTGTCGGGCGAGCCACATTGCGAGCCTTGAGATAGAGACCACATGCATTACAAATCATCGCACCCGTTGGCGATCGACGCCAAAGTGGAGTGTTTTTGGTTCCGCAATTGCTGTACATATGTCAGTTTCTTGGCAAACCCCTTCAGCAATTGAGCCAGTAATCGAGGAGGGAACGCACCTGCAGGAATGTCCAAGAAAGCTCGTGTCTTTCTGAGACTTGGGAGAAGTCTTGCCCGGGGGCTGGCTGTCTGCTCTCCCATCGGCCGAATATCCGGATGCTGATGGTGGACCATTTGGGGGTGGACTTGACGTGCCCTTGATCGGAGTAGATTCACCATACTGCCGAGCTAGATGTTCACGACCAGCCTGTGCGGAAGAGATCAGCTGCTGAGCAGCGTCTAAATCCTCCGCAGAGGGTTGTCGCATTGAGCCACCAGAGGAGCCGGGGAAAGAGCGCACCGTTTCCATTTGTGAAATGGACGCTAACATTACCACCTCACTGCCGGAGGGCCAAGGTATGGTCGGCCAATATTTTTGCTCGGAACCCGAGAGGAAGGACAGGCGAACGTATTGTGGGGGAGGCGGATCCAGGAACAAAGCGGTGGGAGCGGAGAGAAGAGGATGATATGTTGGATGCCGGTAGGGAGGTGAAGGGGTATGTCGCACTGCAGTCTAGAGCCGAATTTCACCGTATCACGCACGTCAGTCTGCACGTACACAGAGTATAGCACCAAAGGGCCCAAATGTCGGTCAGCGGGCCGTGATGTCTGTTCCTGTAGGGAGGCGGGCCAGGGCAGGGCACAGAAGACAGGATCTGAAGGGTGGCTCAAAGGGAGGTGAAAGCGGAGGGGCACAGCAAGCCTGGGGAGAGAGGCGAGACCAGGGATCGACACAGTCACAGCCTTGAGGGGGAAAAGGAAAAATATGAGGGCAGCGATATCAAAGAAAGTGGCGTCCCAAAATGCCGGGGATGGTCAGGTGATGGGCGATTGCGACAGGTGACAGCAAAGCAAAGAACGCCTTGGGTCTGATTTGGCGCTGTGGGGAGATGTCTTCGGGGATGCCGGTCGATGTGCGAGCTAAACGAAACTAGGACTGGACCAAGTCGTTAGGGCCTGCAGGATGGTGATCCCAGCGGGACAGCCGGTGTGAAGGGGGTGGAGGAGGAGGAGGATGAGGAGGCGAATGCGAATGCGAATGCACAATGCGGAGGAGAATGACTGATAACGGGAGGAAGAGAGGGAGGAGGTGAGGGAGACAGAGAAGATGGTGTGCAGGAGGGATAGATGAAAGGTGGAAGAGAGGTGGGCTGATGGGAAATTGAGTAAAAGAATCGGCAGGGAAGAAGAAGATGGAACCTAATGACGGGGAAGGTTATCGATCTACGAAGGGGGGATCGCCCAGCAGTGGCTATCAATCTATCAGGCTAATCGCATCATTTCCCTATCTCATCTAATCTCTGTCTCTGGGCGTTTCAGCTTATTCTTACCCCTCCCCTTGTTTAGTTATTTCTATTCTTTCCCCCCTCCATCTGACAGTTTCTTCACTTTTTGCTTTTTTTCCCTCAGACATCTCTATCGATCGAGACTTGACAGTCCCCCCCAGATCCAAAAACGACTCCACCGAGGCCTGATGAAGTTTAGGGGGGGCAACAGTGGACATCCGCACCTTCCAAGTAAGACGCGGGCGGGCCTATGCGCAGGCAATCAGCTTTCTCTGTGTTCTGATTGGCGGAAGGGTGGCGTCAGCAACAATCTCGTGGCTGTGATTGGCTATCCGGCACCACGGAAGTATCCATCCGGGCCTCGTTCCTCAGGCTCTCAGGCCTTTCAGGGTGCAAATTATGTTTGCTCGTATTAAAATGCCGAGGAGGTTCCCCCCAAAGAGGCGAATGGGATTAATAAGGTGCGTCAAAATGGAGTCTTTTCATCGAATCACATTCGTCGGATTGCAACCGAGCCGCCGTTTGTACTTTTCTTCGCTTGACTTTTTGCTATCCACTTTTGATGGAAATTGCTAATGTATTGCGCCACTGGCCATTGGCCACGACCTGCCCTTCATATTCATATCCATGTAGTATTGGCTGCAGGCCACAAGGCCTACACTGTATAGTACAGAAAAATCGTTCTAGGCAGGATCGTATCTCCTTTCAGGTATCAACACAAGGCATGATAAAAGAACAAACAAAACTGGCGAAAATAAGAATAGAAAAGGAAATATCGAGGCGGTACTCCACAAAAAAAGAGCACATGGAAAGCCTCTTCCAAAAGTTTGACTAGGCACACGCTTGCACCAATGTATCCACCGATGATGACATACCCTAGCCCTCTCCCTCTCTCTCTCTCTCTCTCTCTCATTGTCCTCATCAACTGTCATATAGCGCACTGGTGATTGCTAGGCATCAGTTCGGGCGCCGCTTTCATCTGATTTGAGCGCCACGTCACCAAGGCTGTAGGCAACCATCACAGGTGCTGTCGCAGCGTCGCAAACGCTTAGACCTGCTCAGCACCCCAGCCCTGGTCGGACTCGCGCATGTTGGAGGGAGGCTCGATGGAGGGGATGAACTCCAGCACCACGTAGGCGATACCAGTGATGCCTACGATGGAGGCGGCGATCTCGCGGAGGATGTGACCGTGCAGGATGATGCAGCCAACGAAGATGTAGACTGGAAAGGGAAGAATCAATCAGCGACGAGCGTAGGAATGGGTTTGGACAGCAATAACTTACAGACACCACGACCCAGGAAGGAGAACAGGAAGGAAGCGTAGCGGTAGGCGTAGTCGGGGACGTTGGGGAGGAACTCCAGACCGGCGACAACTGCGGCAACGTTAGCATCTTTCTAAAAGAAACAAACAAACAATGCAATAGACTTTTCATCAACACGACATCGTCGTCAACTTACCAGCGCCAAAGATCATCACATAGATACCAACGATGATGGAGCTCATGGAAATGGGGAAGAACTGGCTAATACCGCCTAGCACCATAACCACACCAATCGCGATGTTCACGAGTCGACTGTTGACATGATTAGCACTATCCCTTCAAAGTCGGACTGGATCTCCGGTGAGGAGACTACGCCAAGTAAAGCGAGTGAATGAAACATACAAGATGTTAGAGAAATCCATTGTGAAGGTATTGCTTGTCGAGTTCCACTTGGTCAACAGGGTCTGGGTAATCCGCGTTCGAGGGTCAACGTCGCCGAGTCGCTAGACTGTTGATGACGAAGATAAGATGAGTGGGAAAGATCTGGGGTATTCGGTAGGTTCGCTAGTTTAGTCGTTAGTTTGACGAGCACTGACGGGAAGATGGGGTTGAAACAGTGCCACAGCTGGCGTTGTCGGGAACGGAGTCGACCCCGTGGGGGGCGAAGCTCATCTTCATCCGTACCTGTGATTGTCTGGGACCAAAGGAGCGACCAAGGATATGGTTTTGACGACGGAGAAATGAGACCAAGAAGAAGAAACAGCTGTCAATAATGTACGAAGAACAGGGGCGCGGCAGATGGGGGATGGAGAGCTGGCTGTCGCAAGCAGCGGGTCCGCCAAGCCTGGTGGCTGGAGGTCACGTGATGTGATGTGGCTGAACCAAAAGGGGATTGATGTACGAATACTATTACTATTCTTAGCATTGCACTATGGTTGTTACGTAGGTGATGTGGATATTCATCTACCATGTACGAAGTCTTCTCTGGATATGTTCAACCTACATACTTTCTATAACATGTTGCTTCTTCTCCAGACGCACAGATGACAGTCCGTTGACAAACCAACTCATCTGCTTGGGGTCTTGATGCAGTGCGCTGTACATTGCATGCATATCGGCCCCAATCCCCAACTCTTCAGCCGTTTGAAGGCTTCGTGAGTCGACAAATGGGGCGATGGAAGACCAGACACTTTGGACATTGTCGAAGAATAATTCCACGGCCAAATCGCCAATTCCTTTGATCTCTTTGATCAATTCTCGCGTCTTCTCTCTCTGCCCATGAGCGCTCTTGAGTAGATTATTGAGATCACCATCTTCGTAGAAATAGATCAAAAATTCCGTCAGCAGGTGTTTGGGTCCAGATCACAAAGGTCGATAAATGGCTGAGAGCAACCCGTTTGAACCAACAGATAGTGACATACCGTACTCATTTACCACGAATTCGGCCAGATTGCCAAGATTCGTTGCAGTTTGTTCTCGATAGCGATTATATCCTCCTTCGCGGAGAACCATTGTTCTTTCCTCCCATGTACTGCTGTGAAGCTTGTCGATGTCATGATAGCCAGCTTCAATAAGATGATTGATTGTCTTTTGTGAAAGCTCATGTGAAATGGGCTTTGACTTGACCATCGCATCCATTACCATCGCAAGGATCGTCTCTGGTGTAGCTGTCAAGGGTCGTTTCGCTAGTGGCGATTTACCTAGTGGATTATTGCCAAATTCGTCGATAATCTTTTGGATTCGGGATGACATATCGTTCTAATCCTTTCGTGGCATAGTTCATTTGGTACTAGTATCTGTATTCAACTCGTCTGGCTTCACAGGATTGGAGCAAAAAAAAATGCAGGACAAGAAAGTGACCTTGGGATAATCGTTTGGGGGCGTCTAACACAATTATGTACTACTATATCGATATAATATCATATAATCCAAGGCTGACGTCACCTTTTGTAATGAACGCATCCAAATGAGATGGGATTCAACGGATCCACAAATGAATGCTATGCAAATAGTATGAGAGTATTTGCAGCCAAATTCTGCCCAGTCCAATACTCAAAGCTTGGCTCGGGGTCCGCTCTGCAGTGCCTCCTTGACCAGTGCCACGGTCTCTACCGAGCAACCAAAGGAGGCTTGGTATCCAAACCCACCATGTCCATAGTTATGGACGACCTTGACACCATTGACCTCATCTTTCTCAATGCGAGTGCCACCCTCGCGCAGAGGTCGTAGGCCAACGCCATGTCGGATGATATCAAGACCCTCAATGCCCTGACCAGGCTTGACCAAAGAAGGAGCCAACGCGATAGCACGCTTCATTATTCGATTAGCGAGGTTGGGGTCGGGTAGGGAATCCCAATTGTGCTTCTGATAAGAACCTCCCAAGATAGTGCCACCACCTAAAGTAGTCAAGTTAGTCGTTTTATTTTAAGATTGAGGGGTCGAATGCTCGTACCTGCAGCACGGGTCATAATGTACACGCATTCGGTCTCTCCGTCATCCGTCCCGGACACAGAAGCCATGGGACCGGGATTATTGCGGACAACTACAATCTGACCCCGGGCAGGGTGCATCTTGCTGTCCATGACGCCTCCGAGGGTCTTGGCCGACAGACCAGTACAGTTAACAATTAGATCAGCCTTTTGGCCGGTATGGTGCTCGTTTGCAGCATCGGCAATATGTTTGATCACAGCTCGCTTGAACACCGCTCCGGTTTTGACGCACTGGCCGACCAGCCAGGGCAGGTAGATGGCAGTATTAATACAAACGGACGTGAACTCCTGCGCATTATCGACCCCTGGAGCCAGCTTCTCGTCGGGAATTGGTTTGAACTATGCAACTCGTTAGCTTATGTCTGTATTTTCATCAGCACGATATTGACATACATCAGGCACAACGTCTTTGTACCAGGGGTCTGGCTGGGTCAATTCCGCGAACCATTTACCGGTATCCGACTCTTGATCTTTTTTACGATTGTAGATGAGAGTGCCTTGATTCTCGTTAGAATTGCGGGCGGTATGGCAATCGCCGAACTTCACATACCGAGAAAGTGAATTCCGGCCTCTGGGTACTTCTCTGTGATCTCCTTCAGGTAGGGCCAGGTCTCTCGCTCCCAACGTTCATGGTCAGAACCCTCCTTACCCACCCTATTGGAAAGGTAATTTGTCAATGAACGAACTTTGGTCATAGGGGTTGTTTAGCATACGGCATGTAATTGGCACCAGCCCAGGGAGAAGCATATTCAATATCATAGTCGCCGGGCATGTGTTTAGCCAGAACTGTGATCTTGTTCGCCGGATCCTTTGAGAGAAGGTAGGCTGTTGTCAGTCCGGAGACGCCAGCACTTAAAGAAACGTCAGCCACGATCAATCCCTGCACAGCTCTCAATGCCTTCCATGCCGTGCATCAAGTGCACTAGCCTCAAAGCGGGGTCTCCATAGCTTACCCCAAAACCACGATGTTTGGCATTTTGTGAGGAGTCCAATTCGAGCTGCAGCGGTGTGATGATTTTCTATTCTTCAAAAGTGGCGTCTGTAGAATCTTGAGAAGTGATTGCAGATATAATGAGTCAACGGTGAAGCATTGGGGGCAAGGAACCTTAAGGAAGCGGGGGTGAGGAGGAGTCGGGCTAATCTCCGCTATCGAGCATACCCTTTGATAAGAGAAATGGAGCTGGTCACCTTAGGGTCGGGGTAAGTTACACATCTGTACGACCCGGTGCGCCGACTGCTATTTTCGAGTGGCGGCGGTGTGGCTCAGAGCGAATCAGAGGGGGTAATCTGGTTTAACGCGCTGAATTTTTCACAGTGGAGACGCGGAGTAATACAATACCAAAACAACACTCGAATACGCCTCCGCATCTGAGGGGCTAATTTCTGTAGTCACAACTTTAGAAATAGTATTTGATTGATTGGATTGAAAGTGGAAGGGTGTAATAATGTTTCAGAAGATATATCAATTAGTCTGTGTGAGTAGGTTCTATGATAACGATAGCTATAACTATAACTGTAAGTTCAGAACTTTCGAGGTTTACGAATACTGTCAGCAACCGTCAATAGTGTGCTTCAAAGTGTACCTCCACCGCCTCGACAGCAAGGGCCTCTCCGTAATGACCCGCGGACTCCAGTGGGCTCCACCGTATCCCTAGGAATATATGGATCACATTTCAGAGGTTCAGGGGTGGTGCTGAAAGAGAAAAGAGTAGCTACTGTTCATTGTTAATGAGTTAATGACCAAAAAATATAGCTATTAGAGTACAAGTATACTCTAAACTGTATTCCAGATCTGGTCTAGTACCCTATTGAGCGATGTCATAGTGGGCAAGGGCTCACGTGCAGCCAATCAGGGAAGGCACAGAGCTGGACCGCCCCCAAACTTTTCTCGCCAGGCAAATGTGGCCTAGTAGCAACATCGTTTTCCTTTTTATCCATCGGCACCCGCAGGGCCTCCTCCACTCTGCGGGTTCCTTGTTCTTGTTCTGGTTTCCTCCCTGGGCTTTCCTTCTTCTACTTGATTTTCCTCTTCACTTTCCCCTCTCCCCGGATTTGCCCTCCCCCTCATAGATGCCGCCCTCTTCCCGGGAAGGGCCTCGCTCACCATGTCACTTCTCGCAAACGGTGGCAGAATTGTGCCCATACTTGCGGCCCACGAACAACACCACCCCGACTCCACCCTCAACACAGATATACTAGCACAGTATCCTCTTCCCCAAACCACTGACCAGGCTTCGCTGCTGGACCAGCGACAAGATGCTTCACCCATCCGACAAGATACCTCGCCTACCCGACACAAGAAATCAGTCGACCTGGAAAGCTTGGAAATGCCCTGCTTAAGAGAACAGGGTTTATTCGCTTTACCTACAGAAGGTGACGGTAAGATGAACCCGCGGTTTCTATGAAAATGAGATCAGCTTGCTATAGTCAAGTGACTAGCTTCAATTCCCCAGAACAATTGGTTTCTGACGCGTCAAATGCAGGGAATTGTCTCTACTACTCCCTCTCCGACCAATTATACGGGAGCTTCGACCACGGCGACGAGATCCGTCAGCTACTAGCCGACCATATGACAACACACAAGAGATACTTCATGCAATTTGTGGTGGCTGAGGGTGGTGAACGCCGTCGTCCCAAACGAGCCGCCGTGTCCGCCTACGCTACGCGTTCCGCCGATGTTGCAGCTCCCTCCGACGAGGACAAAGAGCGTCGATTCGAAGAAATGGTAGCTACAACTCGGAAAAATGGAGAATGGGGCAGCTCTGAGAGTCTTCAGGCTTTCTGCCAAGTTTACCATGTGGACATCAATGTTTACACAATGGATGGTGTGCAAGCATTCCGGGACGTGAATGCTTTGCCCGATGAACATCGTGATGTTATTAATGTTGCGTTCCACGTACGATTATCCTTTTATCTTATATTCTTGAGCTCTGAGCTAACCCTATGCTTAGGATTTCAAACACTATTCTTCAGTGCGGCCTATAGACAGATCCCACAAGGGCCTCTTTGAGGTCTCCGCAGGCTACCAGTCACCCGACCTACCCACCCACCCTCAATATACCCACGTCGACGATTGTAAAGAGCATGTTTCGTCTGAATTTACAGCGGCAGCTCTTGAAAAAGACAATATTATCCCCCGGGATTCCCATCTCGCGTCCACTGACTCTACAGACGACCCCGGCTTAGCCGTTGACGTCTACCCTCCTTGGGATATACAATCCATCCAAGATGGACTTGGCGGGCGATATGATCGCGACACCATTGTAGATATGCTTCAAAAGTGCCGTGGTGACATTGATCGGGCATTTGCCGCTCTGTTGGACACCCCCACAGACAAACAAGTTGCACCCGCCCAGAGTTTCAACTCGAGTGTCCAGATGTCACGAGAATCATCCCCCTTCAGCACAGGCAGCAAAAGATCTGCTGAAGACAGCGGCGATGACTCAGAAGAGCCACGTCCAGCCATTCGCCGAGGTCGACCCAGGAAACGCATGGTCTCGAAATTGACCTTGGGCGTTGGCATATCTTTCCGAGACGACCAAAACGAGGTCGTCTCTCTGAATCTTCGAGTGAGTTCGATCTGCTAGTATTCCCACGGTGCCTGCCACTAACCCAACATCATAGATGAAATCAGACGCCGAGAAACTAAAGGAGTCAGACTCTACACCAGACGACAGCGCCTCAGAAACGTCTGAATCTGTCATGGGCAGAGGCCCTCGTCGAAGCGGCCGTCTCTCAAAATCTCGACCCACGTAGCTGCGATGGGATTTCACTCCTGAGTCGCAGCGCGCTTGCTCTTATCTTCCCCCTTTCTTCCGATCCTATATTCCCATCTTTATTTGAAGCGATCTATTTGCATTGTGACGGCGTTGGCGTGAAAAGCATTTTCAACTTGCTGGAACCTTGGATCTCTTTCTTCTTCCTTTTTTTGGCACACATGCATGGCCATATGGAACAACAGCCAGGTTGGCTACAGTGGCGTTTTGACTTTATTTGCATGGAAGAGGAAATGCCTGGTGCATTTTTCCTCAATGGCTCACGACATGCATTTTCTCAGCGAGATTCGAGAAGAACTATTTAGCTTAGACGATTTTTGCTCATGTTGAGGATTGCGCGAGCATTTTCTCACATCCAATGGGATATTTTCCTGGTACCAGATCCTCGGATCGGTCACCCGACTGAATTCTTCTCTCCGTAGTTCCATCTTGTACTCTCTCTTATAATTATTTCTTACTCGGGTTTTCTGAGACTGTCGGATCTCCGTGCAGGGTGACTGTCACACCACGTATTCTAGGTCTCGGCAGGGTGCATTTGCGTAACACGATCGGACCAACCCTATTTTAAGCAATACGATACTACTACGGAATTAATTCTATTCGGTTCATTTATCAGCTCGTAGCGTTTGTATCATCTATCGAGGCAATCTAGTCTTGACCGACAACAATCTATAAGCAAAGTCGGCATCTAGTATCTATAATCGAACGTGCTATGTACAAGCAGCTGGCCAGCCCAGCTGCAACTCGATGCGCATGCAGAGGTTTATTCCTCCAGTAGGAACTTCAGGAAAGTCGTCCCGATCGAAACACCATCGTGTTCGTTGTTGACCCTGCTGAGGCCTTCCTGCGCTTGGTCCTCACTGAAAACACCCATCTTAGCCCGGAGGCTAATAATTTCGTTCTCCATCCAACCCGTAAACTCAGGGTGTCCCTGGACACTAATAAAACGGCGCGGGGAGTACATGCCCTGGATTGCGCACTGGGGCGAATGGCCAAGAAGGGTGACGCCTTCGGGCAAACTGTGTACTATATCCTTATGCATTTGGTGGATGCGCTATAATATGGTGAAGAATAGTTGCATAAGTCAGCCCATTTGCAAATTTGTATTGGCGTTGCTTTGGATTATGCATGTGTCGCCGGAATGGAATGAATGCATCACGTACGATCTTCTCCAGCCCGAACACTTCCTTGCCTTTCTCGGTCAAGTCCATGTCGCAGACGGCAATTTCCCATCCCTGATCACTTTGTCCGACTTTCACTCCCAGCGCGCGACCTAAGATTTGGTGTCCGAAGCAGACTCCAACGATGCGGACTCGATCTTGGGCGAGGACGTGTTGGGTGAATTCGACGAGGCGGTTGATCCAGGGGATATCTTCGTAGGAGTTATGTTCTGTATTTTTCGAGATACCGAAATCAGTCATGACCGTCAACATACCACATGCGAAGTACTTTGTATGTTCCATTGCATTACATCGCATGAGTTATCTCAAGAGCGGGGGCACGTACTTGACCCAGATATTAGCACGGCATCAATGTTCTCCAACTTTGGGTATTCCGTGCCGCTCACAACGTCCCACTTTGAAATGACTAGTCCATTTTCCGGATCGAGCTGTTCGGGCTTATTGAGAGCCTTTGCGCTGGATTTTAAAAGCGATGTGAAGACACCTCCGTAACCACCGTATCGGTCGTCGACGGGGGGAATTGGGGTATCGGCTTCCAGCACGGCAATCCTAAGGGGGGCGCGCATTGTTTCGGTTGGTGTACTTGTATGATGTTTGGGACGTAGAGTATTCGTATGACTGTTTTGACTGGGTGAGGGTGGGAAGATGAATGGTGAGCAGCGTCGCGAGTGTCAGAGGCGAAGTCACCAGTGACTCCAACGGATCGGAAAGTCTCCAACTCCACCTTGAGGCAACTGCCCCCGCTTATCGTTTATCGCCGACTCCCCCACTCCCTTCGAGGCTGTCCCCGACTCCATTGGCTTCCCCGTCCCAGCCACTCCCTCTTATAGCAAGTGGCTTGTCTCAAAGGCGATCTACCAGAAGTCTACATGCATTGAGCTGATCTCTGGTTCGCTTGCTGGTCTCGTGTGATCGACCTGGAGTTCATGCAACTTGTTCGTGTTGCTGCTTAAAAATCCATCTCCACCCAAAACCCCGCCGACGATTGTTTCTTCCCCTTTGTACCACTTTCTTCATTGCGTCGAGACCAGCAATAGCAGCGATTTCCCTGGCTTGGCCCTTGTTGCCTTTTTTCCCCTCTTTGGCCACGGGCAGAGGATATAGTGCTCAACGCCGTCCGACAATGACTTCCGCCAAACGGGGAACAGACCCGTCAGAAGCCACTCCGCTATTGCGACATGAGGCAACAACATCAGAATCCGACCAAACCACTCACTATCACAGTGTGACCAGTCACAACACCAATGTTGAAAACAACTATTCAATTGACGAGACGCAAGAGCAGATCAATGCCCTCGGTCTGGTCCGGGTGACATCGGCAGAGGGGCTGGACATCGAGCCTGACCTGGAACGATTCTCGTCGCGTGGTTCAGCTTCTGTGAAAAGGAACAATGCTTCTACCGGCAATACAGATGCCATTCCAGAAGAAAATGAGGATAGCTATGCCGCCAGATTCATCGATGTATCGCCAGCTCGATTCTGGCTTATCTTCGTCGGTGTGCTCATCGGATATCTGATCGGCTTCTTCGACTCCACCTTGATGGCATCGAGCCATCCGGTTATTACTTCGTATTTCAATGCTGCAAACACTGCTTCGTGGTTATCAACCGCATTCCTGCTCACCTCTACAGCTTTCCTACCGCTCTTCGGACGCATCTCTGATGCCTTTCGCCGGAAGCCCGTATACCTATTCTCCATCGCCATGTTCTTCCTGACCACAGCTTGGTGTGGGTTGGCACAAAGTATCGGCAGCTTCATTGCTGCCCGAGCCCTCTGTGGCCTCGGCGCCGGTGGGGTGTTCTCCATGGGTCAAATTATATCCAGCGATCTGGTCCGCATCGAATACCGAGGTGTTTACCAATCTTACATCAATCTCTGCTATGGTACCGGCAGCTGCTTGGGCCTCGCATTTGGTGGATTCCTCTGCGATCGTATCGGTTGGCGTGGTGCATTCTTCATTCAACTTCCCTTCATCTTTGTATATTTCCTCACTGCAGCAAGTACCATCCCGGCGGACCTCGGCATCAAACGGACCATCAACTCGGAAAGAATGACCGTGGTGCAATTGATTCGCAGCATCGACCTGACAGGTGCATTCATCCTGGCCACAGCAGTGACAGCTCTGATCATGGGATTAAATCTTGGTGGCAATGTCTTCCCTGGGAACATCCGCTGGTAATTAGCTCTTTGGTCACGGCTTTGCTCTTGGGTATCGTTCTTGTCAGATACGAGCGCGGGGTGCCACGCGCAGTTCTTCCGATTGAACTCCTCTCCAAAAATCCTCGGGCTAGCCTCATCATTGGCAACTTTTTCGGCGCCATCTCAGTCAACACGGTCATGTTCAATGTACCTCTTTACTTCCAAGCGGTCAAGCTGGCTAGTCCCACAGATTCAGGTTTGCGCTTAGTGGCAGCATCTATCGCCATCACTGCGTCAAGCGTTGGAACTGGATTCTTAATTACCTGGTCGAAACGAATGAAGCCAACCATTATCCTTGGTGGGTTTTGCATGTTGTTGGGCGGATGTACTGCTGCGTCCCTCAATATGCATACACCCTATGCGCTAGCGATGATATGTGTGTCATTTTCTAGTCTCGGGCAGGGTTTCTCCTTTCCCTCGGTGATGGTATCAGTTCTGGCTACAAGCGAGCAGGATGACCAAGCTGTTGCAACTACAACCCTCGGCCTAGCACGTAACCTTGGAGCCGTAATGGGTGTGTCTATCAGTAGTTGGATATTTCAAAATGCCCTCTATTACGAATTAGAACGGAACGTGAAGGGGGTGGAGAAAGACCACATCATTGCTCTCGTTCGCAAGTCGATCCGAGCTATTTCCAGTCTTGACCCACTGCACCAACATCAAGGTTCGTACTCTTTCGATTTTCCCCCTCTGTCGTCTCTCTACTTATAACTGGATAGTGATTGGGTCATATGCGACTGCTCTTCGCGGAACCTTTCTGTCTGCGGCCCTTTGGGGTGCCCTCATGCTGCTACTGCATTCCCGCCTTCGTTTGCCCCGACTCGGCAGCAAGGCTTAAAATATTTCATGACAGAATATACAACTCAAACCCTAGATTGTTCTCATCAATATTCTTATGGCCCAACTAAATTTTTGCCATATTCCAAGGTTCTGTTTCCCGTTTTGCAAAGTATATATTTACTAGCAGGTCTAGTAGGGTGTTTCAAGCGTCGGCAGTACTGGCGAACCAGTTACTTCCGCCCCAGAACCCAGGGGTGCATCGAATCGATTTCCATCAAGTCGAATGCTTCACACCTGGGCATGTAAAATGAGAAATTGCTGCTAGTATCGAGAATTTACCTGACAGCAAAGGGATAACAGTGATGCTCTATAGTTAAGGTGGTAAGGTGTAGTTATCTTGAACCAATCAGGAACTCGCCAAATTTTCCCCGGGTCCCGCTTTTCCCTCAAGAACCTCCGCGTTGAATTGCCAGGCCGATCCTCTTTGACACCACCTGCAATCTAGCTCACTCGAGACTGGCCGTCTACGCGACCCACGTTTGATCCGGCCTGTCATCGTAAGGCAATGGTCACTGCCATTCATTTGTATGATTGGCCCTAAGTTGACATCCCAGCGCTCCAGACCTCCGACTCCTTGCTTTGCCCCTCCTCCGCCTCCGCCTCTGTCTCGCTTGTACAAAGAATAATTGTCAAAAGGCCTCGGAATCACTTTGCACCCGTCTCCAGCTATTAAAGTCTCCGACTGTCGGACCTGGAACCAGCCACACGCCCCAGCAGCGAACATGGCCATTCGACCACAGTCGCCATCAAGATTTTGTGAATTCGGAAACCTTCGATCAAACCGGCGGTTGTCTGCCCCGGTTGGCCCTGGTGGCTAGAACACAAAGAGGGGATAGGGCAGGTGGAATACTTGACAGGACAAAATGAATCTCACTACTCGCGCCCAATCAAAATCGCAGTCACCGAGAGTGGACTCGAGGACGTCGACCCCCAAAAGCCAGAAAGGCAACTCCCCTCGCGCTGCTGGCACCAATCGCAAGAAGTCAGAATTGTCAGATACGAAGGCAAAGAGGGTTCGAACAGGTTGTCTCACCTGCCGGGAGAGACACCTCAAGTGCGACGAGGCCTTGGGTCGGTGTTTGAATTGTCGAAAATCAGATAGGATATGTAGGCGTGGTGTTCGCTTGAACTTTATCGACATTCAGACGGTCGCTCCGCCACATATCATTGATCGACCCAAAGGTGCCAAAGTGACGTTCAGAGACGACTCACGCTTCATCGCATCCGAGTATGTTGGCGGCTTCGAAAGATATCCTCCGCCCCAGCCGGAGAGTCCCGTCCAGGATCGCCAGCTTCTGCATCAGGATGCATTCAATGCCTTGGGTACGGACTATCTGACAAGTCTGTTCCAATCTGTAGCCCATTCTTTCGACCCAACCGGCTTCGATGTCCCCCATGACTTTATAGTTGGACCTGATACGTGGCACGAGCCTCATATCGTGCCTGGTGAGGAGCTACTTCCGCATGGGACATCCAATTTTGCGCGAAAACTCGCCATGAAGCAGTACAGTTCTTCGTCGCTGAGCGACCCGGAACAAATATTCCTCTTGCAAACATTTGTTGAAGAGGTCGGCCCTTGGATGGAGTCTATGGATCCAATGCGACACGTACGTCACCTTTTGCAGTTACTTGAAGGAACTCCGCTAACTTTCATACAGTTTACGCAAACTTTACCATACTATACTGTCGAAGAACCCTTGTTACTCAAGGCTTTCTTGGCCTGTGGTGCTCGGCATCTCTCGGTCGTAAATCCCTCCTCCGGGGATGAAAAGGCAAATCGCTATTACGAAATGGCAACACAAGACCTTATGAGTTTGATGCAAGATCCTAATCGTGATTCGGTTCTATGTGCGGCGGCTGCACTGGTTCTCAGTATATATGAGTCAATATCCTCGCAGTCAACACCCAAGATCAACCATACGACAGGGTCAAGAGCTCTGATCCGCGAATGCGGTTGGAACTCTAAGACACCCGGCCTTGGGGGCGCCTGCTTCTGGATCAATACTAGCATAGAGCTGTTGAGCTGCTTGCGTTATGGCTGGTCTCTTTCATGGGACCCAGACACATGGGGAGTCGACATGCATATAGACAACGTGCATCATTTCCCCAAATCAGAGGAACTATGGCTTCACCGGATCCTTTATATATGTGGCAAGGTTTCCAATTTCCGAGTCCAAAGCCAGAACCAGCAATCTCCTAATGGGACAGACGCTCATATGGGGCAATTGAGCCAGAAATTGCAAGATTGGGGGCACTACAATAGTTGGTGCGATCAGTGGGTTAAAAATACCCCGCCGTCGATGCAACCTCTTGGCCACGTCCAGCCGTGGCCCAGCAACACGCAGTCGGTATTTCCGACCATCTGGTAAGCTTTGTTTGCCTCTCAACCATCACTCTTCGCCTGCTCATACTCCCCAGGATGACCAAGCGACCTGCTATCATTGCCCAGTTTTTCTACCATCTAGCTCGCATTCTCTTGGCAAGAACCCATCCCATGGAGCCAGATTTCCGTACGGAGATGAAGGAAATGCAACAGGCTCATGCTTATGATATCTGTGGCCTTGCTGTAGGCCTCAAAGATCGTGGTCTCGCGAAAATATCAATCAGATGCCTCGCAATCGCAGCAGAAAGCCTAGAATCCCGAGAAGCCCAAGAAGAGGCGCTTCGCATCTTGACTGCCACAGCCAAAGACACTATTTGGTCATCTCAATCTATTGAGAACGATTTACGGCAGCACTGGGGCTGGCCCCCTCCGCCCCATGAAACAGTGGATCCTATGCAGATGCATAACAGTCATTATCACGAACTAGACCAGACAATCTCCAAAGGGCCTAAGATTTCTACACATCTCTCAAATCCGCTACTGGGTATGAGTGATTTCTCAGCAGAGAAGCATCCTTATCAAGGATTTTATACCGCTCCCCATCATACCCTTGACCAATACCACCAGTATGGGTCTTATATTCTTTGATTAGAAAGTTCTTGGCTTCGTCTCCGGAGCTTAACACTGCTGTGATGAATAGTTTCAAAATACCCCCACATGCAAATGACTAATGAAATGCCGGGTGACCCATCACCTTGTTCCCGTATTGAGTTCATATATCAATATTTCTGCTGAGTGTATCAGTCAACCTTGGAATGTACTAGATGCCCAACTGGAATTGACAAACTTGCATCAAAGAAGTTGCCTATATATCTGTCGTATGAATCTAACTTGAATCTTTAAGTTGTTTCAGTAGAATTTCTGAAGTGGAATATTTTATGAATTAGCTCTCTTCGTCAAATTCACTAGATATTAATCTTGAATTTGTTCCAAGGTTTCTTTTAAAATTGGATGGCAGTGGCTATGACTATACTTCTGTTCGGCGGAAAAGCGGTGGCATAATCCGCCGCCAACGACGCACTCGCCAGACCGGAACCTCGACCGAGAACAACTTTATCCAATGAATCACTAGAAAACTGGGGATGGCTGAAGTAACGAGCCAATCTCAACAAGCCGCAGCTACCCCGGTCTACATTCTTCGCGGACATGCGGCCCCCATCCATGCCCTGTACATCTTCTCTCAGAACCTACGGCTTGTGTCGGGCGATGCTGATGGCTGGATCGTCGTATGGGATTTAGTCACCAAACGGCCGGTGACAGTCTGGAAGGCCCACGAGGGTGCTATTCTTGAAGCCAAGGGATTCGCTGTTGATGGTGGCGGAGCAGAGATATACACGTGAGTGGTATTCAGCGATCAGTCTGGAATATTGGGTTATTGGAACTTGGAACTGCCTTGCTAAATATTTGGTATAGACATGGCCGCGACCACAAGTTATGCGTTTGGAAACTTCGAAAAGAAGACGATAAATTCCTTGACAAGACGCTTCCAGTCGACGTGGCGGCTTCAAATCAACAGGACAAGGGGACTAAGCCATGGCTGCTGCACTCTCTCCCTGTCAATGCACTCAACTTTTGTGCCTTTTCGATGACATTCATCGATGAGCACACCCGAAAAGACATCGACGATGATTCAAAACCACACGAAACAAGAAATAACGACATTCTATTTGCAGTCCCCAATGCTTTGGACTCCGGGGGCATTGATATCTTCCACCTCCCCTCTGAACTTCGCCTCTGCACTATCCGGTCAGACCCCACCATAAAAACCGGAATGGTCATGAGCGTGGAAATCTTCCTTTCCGCGTCGGGTGATCTCTATGTGACATCTGCATATGAGGATGGGCATGTAATGGCCTTTGTTCGAAGGGGCCCGCTCGACCCGGCGAGTTTTGATCTCAAATATATCTCCTCCCACCCATGGAAGTGGGAAAAAAAGATACGGCAGTCGCCCGCACAGCCAACCTGTTCTCTCTATCGATGTGCCCCCCTCACGCGATTGCTTCTTCTCTTCGTCCGCTGATGCTCTGATCATCAAACATCCTATCCCAACGCATTCTATTGGTAAGAATGGAGAAGATCTGCCGCTGAAAACCATCAATTCAAAACACTCTGGTCAACAAGGGCTGCGGATTCGTCGCGATGGTAAAATTTTCGCAACTGCTGGTTGGGATAGCAGGGTAAGGGTATACTCTGCAAAAACAATGAAAGAACTAGCTGTTCTCAAGTGGCACAAGGATGGCTGTTATGCTGTTGCCTTTGGGGAAGTTGACCCTGTCCCTGAGCCAACATCGTCCGACAAAGCAGAAGGACAAAGTTTGTCATTGGCTACAGTTCATAACCAACGGAATCTCAAAGTACAACAGACACACTGGCTGGCAGTTGGTTCCAAGGATGGAAAGGTTTCATTATGGGATATCTACTGAAACAAATGCTAATGCTCTTGTACAATAATGCATCGCCACATATCGGGCAACGTGAACAAATATAAACAAATACGCTTTTTCTAAGCAAGATTGAACTCGCTGGCTCCGGCCATATTCTCGCGCATCTTTTGACGCATCCTCCGGGCCGCATCGTCGGTGTTAGAGGCAACTGGGTTATCGTCAGCCGCACCGGCCTTCCTCTTCTGACCGGCAGCACCGCTGCGGGAGGCCTTGAAGTCCTTCTTTGTCTCCTCTTTGCTGGTACGCAGACCGGGCACATTGATCTTGCCAGGTCGATCGCGGAGGGCGAAACTCTTGGCAAGATGGCCCAGGTGTAGCTCCTTGATGTCGAACATGCTGCGCTCGGCGGCGATGTGGGTTGCGTAGGCACGGATGTGAGACTGGAATCCGCGACGGGCCATTTCCAGATACTTGGGGTTGTCCAAAGCCCATCGCTCGACGTCCATCTGCCAATCCGTCGTCTTCTCCTCCCAATTCTTGCTGCTGGAATCCACGCTGACGCCGAAGCCGCGCTTGAGGATTTCTGTCGCATCGGTGCGAGTGAGTGCCTTGCCGCCATCGCGGTAGCCACGCTTCAAGATTTCCACGTAATTCTCTTCACATCCGGGCTGCAGGAAAATACAAGCCCGACCATCACGACCAAGACGTGCGGTACGACCAATTCGATGGGTATGGTCGTCTGCGCTGAAGGCTGGGTCATACTCAATAACCAGTTCGACATTCGGCAGATCCAGACCACGAGCGGCAACATCGGTACAGACCATGACTGATGGATCGTCGCTGCGGGAGAATGATTTGAGGGTGGCGGTTCGAATTTGCTGGGTAGGGAGCCGTGGAGACGGTGGAGTGTCACGGAATTTAATGAGTTGGAGAAGGCAGTGGCGGGTGCGATAGTACCATGAGGGGACATCTTTTCCCGTTCACTCAGAATCTTGGCTTCATCACTTTCTTCTTCTTCGTCATCGCTGTCGTTTCTATCCCTGTTTTTCTTTCCCTTTCTCTTGCCGAATTCTCTTGAGAAAACCTCGAAGAGGAAGTCTGCCGAGTCGGCACACGAGACGAAGACGATAGCTTTCATCACTGAACCCTTGCGAATAAAGGTACGTTTGAGGAATGCAGTCAATGACACTAGACGCAGCTTGGATGGCACGACCGCGTATGATTGCTTTAGTTGAGCAGGAACGCGGAATGAATCTTCGTCATCCTTTTTGCCGTCTGTTTTCCCGTCCTCATCGGTCGCGTCGGCCTTGATATGAATTGCATCCTTCAAACTGATCTCACCAAGCCGTTGCACATTCATTTTTAATGTAGCAGAACACAAAACCGTAGTCCTGCGCGTGGGGACACCAGGAACTCGACTGGGTCGTTGTCTCGCATCCAATTTCTTGACAATTCCTTGTAGCTCCTCCTCGAATCCCAAATCCATCAGGCGATCACCTTCGTCCAGAACCAGCCACCGAACATTGCTGACATTCAAGGCTTCTGTATTTTCCAAGTGATCGGCCAAGCGACCAGGCGTGGCGACCAGAATATTCAGTCCTTTCCTTAGGCGAGCCTTTTCGGACTTTTTCTTTTCTCCACCAATGACTGTTCCGCAGACAATCCAATTGGCGCATCGTAAGACATTTTCCAAAACAACTGAAATCTGCTTGCACAGCTCACGAGTCGGAGCCAGAATGATAGCAAATAATCCACTGTCACGATGAACACCGTCCTCCTTCGTCGCCTTTGAGAGAGCCATGATCCGTTGCACCAGGGGCAAAAGATAAGCCAAGGTCTTACCGGAACCAGTCTCGGCTTGGATAAACGCATCGCTTTCTTCTTTCAGGAGTTGTGAGACGGAAGCTTTTTGAATCGCGGTAGGTGCTTTCAACTCAAGCTTTGTGAGGAGATGCGCAGCCAGATTGGGCGACAATCCCAAGTTGGTAAAAGTATCCAATCCATCCAGTAGGGGCGCATTGGTCGGCTTCGCATCCTCGATCGGTTCTTCAGACTTCGGCTCTTCCACATGTGTTGATTCGGGGTTGCTGGTGAAAAGAGAAGAGGCAAACTGTCCGGGGTGTCGGCGTGGTCCTTGCTGTTGGGGTCGAGACCGGTTACCACCTTCTCCGGACCTTCCTTCGTTCGAATCGGTCGTTCTTTGTCGCTTTGCTGGTCTCGTACCAAGCTGGGTTTGATTGGGGTTCTTGGGCTGGTGGGGACCTTTGCCTTTGCCTTCGCCTTCGCCGTCTCGAGGTTGGTGCTGCGAGCGCTTCTTCGCAGAGAGTCGGTCCCGCCATGTTCCTCCCTTGTATTTCGCCTCTTGTGTGATGACACTGTCGCCAAGGGCGAAGTTCAGAAGCATACCATCGTCCGCCATATTGAAAAATCGGGGTAAAACTTTACAACCCGACAGTCGAGAATGAGGAAAAGATGTTGCTATCGAGACTTTTTTTTCCCGCCAAGACCCACCGGCAGAAAAGGCGATTCTTTACAAACACTGCAAACACTAGGAGCTACTCTAGTAACAGAAGGCGGTCAAACTATTCATAGTTAAGTCAGCTCATTCAAATTGATATTTCTTTTTGACTGCAAAACATATCCGTACCATGGCAGTATAATTGTCGAATTGACTGATTCAAGCTATGCACCGGCGTATTCAGCAGCGCGTATTGGCCCAAGCTCTGCCTTCTCGCACCATGTTCCTATAAGCTTCAAGTTGCCGCCAGACGCCTTCGTCTCTCGATATACTTACTATTCACGAACAACTCTAGACAGTGTAATGTGATGGTCTGGCTTCCCTGAACGAGAAAGGCAAAGACAAAGAGAAGACAACTTAGTACAGTCTGGGTGTCGTTAGAGAAATCCAAGTTTTAATAACTACATGCCATTATTCATGCAGGAGATCAAGACATGTCAAAAACGGTTGTCGGTGCAAGGTCTAGATTCTATGGTATGGTGACACTTTTCCATCTATGTACACTGCATATTTCTCAGAGCGCATCATGCCCGGGGTTGGAGGATCAGGTTGTCGATGAGTCGCACCGGGACCTTACCATCTCCCAATCCGCAATCCTCGCCGGGCTTGTTCTCCTCTAAGGGTGCCATCTTCAGGGCCGCACTCAGGACACCTCCCTTGGTGGAATCGACGAGATCCAGCTCGTCGAGAGTATCAGGGTCAGCGAGGGAGATATAATCCACCTCAAAGAGGGCCCTCTCCGCAGGCGGAAGTGCCTGCTGTTCAGATAGCACTCGATCGGTAATGCTTCGGGCAGCACCTAGGATATCTGCTCGGGTAGTCTTTCCCGAAAGATATGCATCTTCGGCAGCCTTGAGAGCCTTGTAGATTGTGAGGCCTACAGCGCGTCGTCGGTCGCCCAAGTAGACGTTGCGAGAGCTTAGTGCCAGTCCATCTGCCTCGCGAGAGGTACTGATAATGCGAACTTTTGTATCAAGAAGGAAGTCCTGGACCATCCGCTTGATAATGACGGTTTGCTGTACATCCTTCTGGCCGAAGTATACCCGGTCGGGGTAGTGGCGTTGAAGAGCTTCATGCAGACGGTTGCAACACCACGGAAGAAGACGGGCCGCGAACCTCCCTCTAGCTTTGAAGAGAGGGGTGTGATTGTGACAAATGAACCCTGACCATCGATCTCCGAGGATGGAGGTAGAGTCGGATACATGACCTTGGACGTCGGGGCGAAGATGGCAGTGATTTGTCCCGCGCCTGGCGCACCTGTGCGGCCGAGCTCATCATTCAGCTTCTCCAACTTCTCCACGTCACTATCCCATGTACGAGGATAGCTTGATAGATCCTCATTCACACCGAATTGTGTGGGGTTGACGAAGATGCTAACAAAGATGTCGGTGTTCTCGCGGGCGGCTTCTCGGATCAGAGAAAGGTGACCTTCGTGGAGTGCTCCCATGGTAGGGACGAATCCCACCGTGCGTTCATTTTTCAACAGCTGATGGCGCAATTGGCGGAGGGGAGGGACATCGCGAAAGACCTGGAATGAAGAAGGTTGAGCGACCGATCGTGAAGCTGAGGTTGCGTCGGCCAGTAAGCTAGAGGCCGTTGCTACGGAGGTGTAAGCTTTCAGTAGAGATGGGCGACTGAATGATGTGGGTTCCACTCACTAGAAAACGACCTCACGCCATTGACCAGTTTAGACATGGTGGGAGTAATGTGCCCAGTAATTAATATGATGTCCGGAGTATACTTTTGAGGAAGTCACGTTCCCCGCCAGCTTCACCAAGGATGACTAAGAAATGCACTCATGGCTAGTATTGGCCACCGTAGCCTGTTGCGGGACCGCTGCCGGGGCGCACCTGGTAACCTCGGTTGCGTCCGGGGAAAGTCCCCGTGACAGAGCGACAATCTGGGGTTTGTTGGGAATTGAGGAGCTATGGCCCTGACTTGCACCTTGAAGTGGACCTCTCTGTTCTTATTCGCATCCCCCTCAATGTTCTTCCTCATTCGTGGGTGACCTGACAGCTTGTTCTCACTTCCACCCCTTCGACACCATGCCGCCCCCTAAATCGGCCATCAGTGACGACCACTCGGCTCCGGACTTGCAGATCGTGGGCAAGCAGTTGACGATTCACCGGTCTGGCTTCACTGGTGGCCCTGAAACTCAAGATGAGCCCATTACCGAACGTAACCTCGTCCACCATATGGCCCGCTTTCGAGAAAATCCCCTCGACTTTCTCCGCGAGGTTAGCCTGTACATGTCCGGCACTGGCTGGCGCGCATACGACGATGTGATCGGGCAACCTGTCTTCTACTCGGGGTTCTCCGAAAAGATGAAATCACTCATCCTGGGCAGCCCGATGCTCCAGGATAAGATGAGGGAGCTTGCCGGCACTCGCGTCACAGTTGAGGAGAAGGAGGGTCTATTAGCAATCAGAGACGGCAACACGCTGGACGAAAAACGAGGTCGCCGTCGACACGAAATCGAGACCAACCTCCGAGAGGTGGTGGATGGAATGATGGACAATATGATTTGCAAGATGGAAAACAAGACTTTCATTCGAGGCGCATACTACATGTGTACCCAGCTCCTGACTCGTGCGTACCACCAGGGTATCCATGTATCGAGCGAGGAGGTTCTTCGTTTGCGTTCAGTGGCCCAAGAAGCCGCCAATAAAAAGCAATCCATTGTCTTTCTACCTTGCCACAAGTCGCACGTGGACTATGTCTCGCTGCAGTTGATCTGCTATCGGCTTGGAATTGGGCTGCCCGTGGTTGTTGCAGGCGACAATCTGAACATTCCATTGCTCGGCCCTTTCCTCCAGCATGCAGGCGCTATGTGGATTCGACGCAGTTTTGGAAATGACCCTCTATATCACACTGTCGTCCAAGCTTATATCGATACCCTTCTTCAACAAGGATTTAACTTCGAATGCTTCATCGAAGGTGGTCGCTCCAGAACAGGCAAACTGCTCTCGCCCAAGTTCGGAATCCTCAACTTCATTGTCGACAGCGTACTTTCCGGTCGCACTGAAGATACAATTATTTGCCCGGTCAGCACACAATATGACAAGGTCATCGAGACAGAGTACGCTTTTCAGCCTCCCTCTCCACTTTTTTATTTTATTTGATTCACTAATATCGCTCTAGATCTTATATCAGTGAACTTTTGGGACAGCCCAAACAGAAAGAGAATCTTTCTGATTTCCTTTCATCATCCTCGGTCTTGTCGCTGAAATTGGGCCGGGTTGATGTTCGGTTCCACGAACCCTGGAGTCTACGCGAATTCCTCAACCAGCAGCTTTCGCGGCTCAATCAGGGTGACTTGGACGCTAACAAGAAACTCGCCCAAACCGAAAAGGGCCGTATCTTGCGAACTTTGGGCTACCGAGTACTATCCGAGATCAACGATGTTTCTGTGATGATGCCGCCGGCACTCGTAGGGACCGTTCTTTTGACCCTGCGTGGCCGTGGTGTCGGAAAGGGCGAACTATGCAGACGGCTCGACTGGCTTTGCGACCGCGTGCGGGCGAAGGGTGGCCGAGTTGCCCACTTCTATCGCTCGCCCACTGACCAGGTCGTTGACCGTGCTCTGGATGTACTGGGTCCAAAGTTGGTGGGCGTGATTCCTGGCCTGGCTGAGCCTACGTATTATGCCGTCGACCGCTTCCAACTGTCGTTCTATCGTAACATGCTCATTCATCTTTTTATCACCGAAGCCTTGGTCTCTGTTGCTATGTACACCAAGATCAAGCAAGGCGGTGGCCCTGCCAATCAGCGTATCACATACGAAGCGTTGAGGAACCAGGTCTCTTTCCTGTCTCAGGTATGTGTTGCTCTGCTCTGTATTGCAAGTATACTCTAACGATCGATAGCTTTTCCGTGGCGAATTCATCTTCCCTCCGGAGGGCCTCTCCTCTAACATGGAGAACACTATGCGCGGCTTGGAGTCAGATGATGTGATCAAGATTACTCGTGACGACTCTGGTACACCACAGTATGTTGAACTCAGCGAGGCTGAGCGTAACTGTGGCCGTGAGAATTATGACTTCTACTGTTTCTTGATTTGGCCATTTATCGAGGCATCTTGGCTTGGTGCGGTGTCTCTACTTGGACTTACACCGCCTCTTGATGGTGGCCAAGATAACTGGATTGACATGAAGAAGTCCCAGGATAGTGCGCAGCTGGTGAGTCACCCCCCCTGAGTAACCACACTGGCACAGCTAACCATTTTCAGCTTGGCAAAACATTGTACCACCAGGGCGACCTTTCCTATTTTGAGGCCGTGAACAAAGAAACTCTTAGGAACTCATATCAGCGTTTCGAGGAGGAAGGCATCATTCTTGTTGCCAAAGATAAAGAGTCCCGCGCTGGTCCTTCGCTGAAACTTGCACCAGAATGGACGCCTGAGAGAGATCCAACCACTGGTAGAGTACTCGATCGTGGGCGTCTCTGGGACTTTACTGAATTGATCGCGCAATCCCGTCGTGAAGGGTAAGTCAATCACCTCTTCCCTGAGCTACTGCACATATGCTAATATTTGTGTCTAGTAAAAACCGTCGTGACGGAGCGACTGTGTCCTCACGTGTCCTGACCATGTCGGATATCGTTGGCCGCCAACTATTCTACAATGCTGCGGCCCCTGCTCCAGCTGATGTCTCATCTCGCCAAATGCGCCGCAAGGCGATTGCAACCGACTCGAAGCTCTAGTGAATCTTCGGACGATAAACCATCCTCAGCTTTGATTTCCGAAACTAATATACATAACCCACAGATCCAACTTGAATACCCTGGCGTTATCTGGTCAACAGAATAGCATTTACCGTTGTACATATATGCAAGAATTCTATACGCAATCTTCGGACCTGCGCCTAATTCCTCTTACCAGATCGCCGTTTCCCGCGGCCTTAGGCTTTGCCAGTTCTCCGTTCGGAAGCCCCAGCCGACTCGTTTAACCTTGGAAATTCTAGCGGCAAGGCACTCACGGTTGTATTCCGCACCTGGCGGTTGGACCTCGTAGAGCTTCGAACTTTATTCCTGACTGTCAGCAGAGTAGATAGCTACGATCCTATCTATAGGCGATAAATCTTCTGTGAATAGAGACCATTCAATAAATGAAATCCTCTTACAATTGATCTTTGAGCCGGGGTCTGCGGCCAGCCTAGTACTCTTGCAACCGTCGGCAAATTTAGATTCCCAAAGCATGTTTTTAGTGCGCTTTTACCCAGTTTATAATTGCCGAAAGCATTGCCGACATCCCCAGACTTTCAATCATTCAGTTCCAAAAACTGGGGTTACTGGGCTCCACGACGTCAATGCCATAATCTGTGGATACATTTCCCTTTAGCGTGGTATGCAGAGCTAATCTGCTGTCCAAACTCAAGCCTTTGGGGCGTTCCGCCATGTCATCGACAATTGCCTAGGAACGGTCTAGCTGTGAATTCGGCAGTTGGTTAGTAGGAAGGCATTCGAGAGCTCAGAGTCCGAGGTTCATTGTCTACCTATCCTCCAAGCTCGGCACTAGCTACTAGTATTCACATACTAGTATTTTCTGGACTTCCGAGCCTTCTCCTAGGGTTCCTTTTACTTGGAGCTGGAGACTACCTAGCGCAAAGAGGGCACTTCTCGGAATCCCACCCGGGATACATTTTACCCCCTCATAGCATTTCTCCACAACTGACCCCAGACTTCAAGGTACTACCCGACACCAAACCTTACTTTTGGATTCTTTTGTATAGGTCGGACTGTATTAAGTCCCGTTTTCTCAAGTAAGGTAGGGAATATTTGCAAATATCATAGTTATGTGTGGGATAATTCCGCTTCGTTTCGTGCTGCTGGACTTGGCTTTTCTTAAATGATATGATTTTATTGAGTGGGATGAATCCCGAGATATGCTCTTCGCTTGGATAGTTTTCTTGGCTTCTTCTACGCGATCGGAGGTGGCTTTAGTTCTTCGGCATTTTCTAGCATCTCTTCTTAGTCTCGCCGCGCGCCAATCAAAGAATATCTTATCTGTATAGAGATTTTCCAATTATTAGGCTCTGAGACACTACTTGATGAGACAAGGACCTCTCACGAGAGTCTTAGTGCACCCTCTCTGATATGGTAAAAGATAAGCCGAAAAGTCCAATCGAAAAGTAGGCTTAAATTCCTTCGGTGGTAATCGCCGCCTGTCGGGACTGCAAGGACTATCATACCAAATACAGTTTAGTTGAGGAACTGAGCTCTCTTCCATTTTCGCAGCTCCTATCTCAATGCGGAGAAAATCGAATATCGTCGGATCCTTTCCGCGTCAGAAATCAATGTCGCGCTGGGTGCCATGGAGCGTCGGCTCAATGGCAAGATCATCACTACCGAGAGAATGAGGTCCATACACTCGGGGTCTAAAATGCGGGGATGTGACGATCTGATGAGAGTCTAGTTGTAAAGGGGTGATCATGGCTGAAACCTATAAATTCAGCCAGAGGTATCTTTGTACTCCGCAATTTAGTTATAACAACACAAGCACGTTCAAAGCTGAGAACGCATCTTTCTTGACAAGATGGGATGGTCTAGTAGTCTAGCTCTCATCCCCGGGGGCTTGCACTCCTTTCTAGCATTTCAAACCTTGCTGCTGCGTCTTCAGATACAGCTCTATGGCCTCTTCAAACATACAAGAGCTCATCAATCATGACACCCTACATGAACGTTACCAAGATGGGTCAGACCGAACCTGGATATCTTTTCTTTTCCCCGCAGGACATCCTTCGCGACAATGGATACCCTGCAATTTATCAAGATGATGGCCAGCTTGTATGGCAAGGAGCCGAAGGAAACTATTCTGCTTTGCAGCCACAGATGTTGGATGGAGAGCCCGTGATCGCCTACTGGACAGGGTATGCTGGGGAAGGCTTTGGATTCGGACATATCAGTATTCTCAACAGTTCTTATGATGAGATTCATCGAGTCACACTTGACTGCAAGTCGGAAAAGTTTGTGACCGTCTTCGAACCGATGCAATTTGACTCGTGCATTGATATCCACGAAAGTCAATTCACCGACAACGGCACTATTCTAGTGACGGCAGTCAATGTCACACAGGCCGATCTTAGCTCTGTCGGAGGCCCTAAGGATGGCTGGATCCAAGACGGACTGATCTATGAGATCGATCTCAAGACCAATGAGATTCTTTTCCGCTGGAGTGCGCACGAGCATGTTGATCAAGTGAAACTCAGTTATCTGCGCGCTCCGCTTGATGGATCTGGGCTTAACCAAACGAATCCATATGGATATCCGCACCTGAATGCCATTTATAAATATGGGGATAGCTACCTGCTATCCTCTCGTTATATGTGCAGCATTTTCTTCCTTGATCCAAATGGCAACGTTACATGGCACCTCCATGTGAGTATCCTCATTCCAGCCGGCGATACCGATCAATACGAATTGTCACTAACCTATGATTAACAGGGCCAAACAGGTGGTGACTTTGAACTGGGACTTGGAACTAGCTTTTGCTACCAACATGACGCACGATTTGAATTCCAGAGCGATGAGCGAGTCACATTGGCATTGCACAATAACGAGAATGCAGACTTCTCGGCCCCTACGACCCTCACCACCGGCTTGCTCTTGGATGTTGAGTTACAAGGCTCAAAACAAGTGACTCTCAAACGACGCACCTGGGATGCGGATGAACCGGTTTATGCCCAGTCTCAGGGAAGCTACCAGTCTCTTGCAAATGGTCATATTTTACAAGATCATGGAGCAACTCCGAAGATCGAGGAGTATGATGAGAATGGTACTATTGTCATGCGTGCACGCTTTGGCTACGATAATACCATGCAGACATACCGCGCATACCGATATCCCTGGACAGGAAATCCATCGACTAAGCCGGACGTTGCTGCGTGCGTCTCGCGTGAAACCAGCAAGACAACTGTCCATGTGAGCTGGAATGGTGCAACCGATGTCAAATCATGGAAGATCTACTCTGGCTCTCAGGCTAAAGGAACCGCATTGCGCAATGGATTTGAGACTTCCATCGAAGTCGATGGTCTGGCTGGCGGTGATGAGATTATTGTTGAAGCGATCGGTGGTGTCGGAGATGGAACTAGATCTGATTCTGTGCAAGTTGGCCAAGGTTGCAAGTCGGAATAGTAGGTACGAAAGACCTATTGAATCAACCAATCTCACCTTCGAGAATAAAAACCAACATTGCTAGTAGCGGATGCACTTGATAATCCGTAAATAATAATTTATACTCGGTAGTGCTAGCGAGGGACCTTAAATGCTCATTTGAATACAACCACTAGATGAGCATCTATACAAGCAGATGGATACCTTGACACATTCCCATCAACGATGCCCCTAATTGATAGATGCTACAAAGTGAGTAGACCAATTAATTAAGTGACTACCCAAGGCGCACCCATACCACTCGTAAAGCATGCCCCTTCCGCTTCAATATCACCATTTCCGCTGCAAACATCAAACGCATATGTCAGACATCCTACTTGGACGAAACCTCCACGCCCACCATTATTACCTAGACGTTAAAGCATTAGTAAAAGTTACCCTCCATTTATAGCTCAATAACCAATGAATAAACTTACAGCCAAAAATACTATCTTTGAGGATACTGCTGCACGTGTGCGAGCCATCGCCGATTGGATCATCAAGCTTTTCGTCTTTGCACGTTTGGGACCCACTGCTGACACCAACATTGAACCAATATGGCACACTCCCGTCCTTTGCTTGATATACATAGGAGCCTCGACCCAAGTTGGCCTCAAGTGTGCCTTTATTGGCAAAAGCTGCACATGCCTTATCGGCGGCTTCCCGGTACTGATCCGGTCGAACGGCGCCATATTTATCGACTGGTCTTCGGATTTCAGGAAAGCAGGTCACCTGGCCCATCGATGGAGCAGTTGCAGTAGGCACCCAGCTCTCACAGGTCAACTAAATCATTACAAGTTAGCCCATTTGAACTTTAGCAGATACAGCAGTCCCGAAAACTTACAGAAGTGGCACAAGGCTCTCGCGGAACAGTACAAAGCTCGCTCGTAGCGGTCTTCGCACAAGAGCTACCAGCAGGAGTTGATATGCTTATGGTACCAGGGGTTGTGGATGCGGTATTTGTCAGAGTTGGCAGACCCGTGAGTTCAGTCTGTGTGGGAAAATAAGATAGCAAGAAGGCTTGCATAAACGAATCCAGGGCGTAGGCCTCATCCGAATCAACTGCCTCGGTCGGGAGAACTTCTGGGTAATTAGTGGTCACGTAGGGTGCGAGGTCACCGTCTTCAGTTGTTGACGTTGCTTCTGCCGTAGTCGTCTTGATGGTGTCTGTCGCCGGAATTTTAACAGCGTCGGGGACTTTGCCATTTCCAATCACGTAGGCAATGAAAGCCACGGCCACAGCTGCCGGTACGCTCTGCAGTGCGACAGCAACATCCCCTGCGGTGAACATGGGAATATTAATCCCAAAGTCAATATCAAACTCCAGGACACCTCCTCCAGCTCCAGGACGCGATAATTGCGATAACTCGCAGCTACCAGACCGCTTAACGCGCGTGTTCGCGCATGCGGCGGCCACTTCTTCGAAAAGAGCGCTGAGTCTGTCCTTGCCCTCTGGAGATAAGATGAAACTGACATCACCAGGATTGGTATTCCCTGAGGTCTCCGTGGCCGTGATAATGGCAAATGGGGCAGTCGCTGTTGTTGTCACACCAGCAGTGGTGATGACCTCAACGCTGACCGGGTCCACTCCGATCCATTTCGCGGTTTCCGTACTAGCATCATATTAGTACAAATTCTTAACATAACATCAGATGATACTCACTATACACTAACTGGATTAACACCTGTTTATATTGGGGTAAGTATTTGCTTAACGATGGTACTAGTATTGCTGAAGGGACGCCAAATACCAATTTGTCCTGAAGCAGTTGGATTTATAGCTCTTGCTACCGGACCTCCTCCGGGCTCTTGGGACAAGGCAGTCAAGGCAACTGATAATATCGCGACAAGAGAAGATTTCAAATACATGGTGTGGGACATGCAGATCCAACCTGTTGTAGAGGATTTGGCAGCTCAGACAAACAGAAAAAATGATAAAATTGGAAAGGAAGATGATATAGTAAAGAGAATATTAAATTCGTTTGAAGTGGAAATCTGTTTGATATATCTGTAAATATACTAGGACAGTATCTGGTTTCCGCGAAAGAAGCTTGAGGTAGTATGGAAGCGCCGGAGCAATGCAGTCTGCCTCGCCGGGATATGGCCTGCCAAAATGAAAGTTGAAATGTAAGATGGTGAGATTCTTGTGACCCTGCAGCATGCATGAAACCCAGCCAGTAGGATCTCTCGATAAAATAAGACCCTGAACAAATATCCCGCTTTTTAGTGTGGCTGAAAATGGTGGGGGCGGAAACTAAGTAGAGATCTCACGTTGATTTCACAAAGTCCTCAGCCCCCAAAACGCCAAAGCTGAGTTAAACTTCGGCTATACCACATTTCGGCAATATCTGCTATACGGAAGAGCCAATCTAGCTGCATGTATGCTTCTTGAGCCCCGTACTTCTATTTATGGGGTATGCCAAGAACAAATATGGATAAAATAACGCGCCGAGTTTAAATGAAGGATCGACTTCGACTATCTAGGACCCATAGTATAGCCTCATCGCTGCTTTCATCTTAATTCGAAACACCAGATACTAGTATTATAACTATATGTGGCTCAAATGTCGTGTCCGATACTCCACAATATACCTGATACATTTTCTGAAGAATCTAGCCACGTCTCGGTCCCTGGGCTTATGTGGGGTCCATGCAGGTTCCCGAGTGGCATGGCGGCTTACCTAGTACTTCCACCCCTTTCTATTTGCCCTCATTATAGAAATTGGCGTTAAAAGTAGCCCCCAAGTAGCATTGCATGACAGATATCGAAGAAATCTCGGAAGATTTTCTATTTTGGCTACCCTACAAAATAGGATACTTGCGTTGATGGGAGGCCTTATATGAGCAAAGCGCGAATTTGAAATCCCCTCCAAGAAGAATTGCCGAAATAAGAAATCAGCCTTGCGTACAAAGTACAATTAGTCCGAGTCCTTTTATCTATCAGTGGATATATCTATCTCGCAGTGGGTATATAGGATATCTGACTTGGAACCCACTTCCCATCTGTGCTGAATTAGTTTTCGTTTTCATCATTCATCTCTGTCTACTACTTTCTCACAGCTCCCAGAGATTGGCTTTTTACGATGAGACTGAACTTTTATTCATGGCTAGGTCTACTGGGCCTTTCCAACCTTGTGGCGGGCAAAGCTCTCGACAATGTGTTCAACGTCAAGAGTGGAACCACTAAAGGAGGATGTGATAGCTACAGGAGTGGCCAAGTTAATGAAAACCTGGATGCCTATTTCGAAGAAGCACAGAAAATCATCAAAACCGCATCCGATGCCTTTGGAAAATACAATACGGACGTTCAAGTCCAAAAACTTGGAAAAACATTCTTTGGAATCACTCCAAATTCCCAGCAAACCGGAACTAACTCCAACGAAGATGCGAATTTGCTTAAACATGTTCAAGGTAAAGGAATAAAACATGAAGTCTTGCTACCTAATACGTTTCAAGCTTTGCTAAAGTCTTCTGATAGACTGGTTCAAGGACCTTGATACCTATGCCCAGGGAGGCAGCGGCCAGAAGATTCCCCTTTATTGCAACAGTGATTGGCTTGAAGAAACAACAACAGGTATGGAGCTAAATTATAGTAGAAGCTACTATATTACCAGCTAATTTTCCGAAATAGTGTACGACTCCAGTGGAAAGGCCAAGAATAACCAAGTAGTCTCGGATGACAAGGCCTACGGGAAGACTGTACCACAGCTCAAAAAAAGTATGTTATCTGTCACCAATTCAAACCTAAAACCTTCGGGATCCCTGACTCATCTGCTCTTTTCTCAAATATAGAAACTGTATGAATTATTCCGTGTTGCTGCGACTGCTCCCTTTTAATTTACGTGAAATTTATCTTCTAACCATCATCTTGCTCAAAGTGGGTCGCATTCTGGTCTGACGACCTGAAGGAATACTACTTTGGTCCTCCATACACCAGCAACCCTCCAACATATTGTGGAGATAATGGAAATATCGCCGTGGTGACACCCATGTCAACTGGGAAAGAATCCCTTTCTCTAACCCTTTGTCCTGGCGGCTTTTTCAAAAAACCTAACACCCTGGAGGCACTCGACGACTCGAGCAGTGATATTGGGCATTCTCTTCAGTCACTTGAGACTAGAAGCTTAAGCATTGTACATGAACTGGTTCACGCCTGCAAAGGTCCAGACGGTATGAAAATATCACTTACTGGAAGGCTTCCCGTGCTAACAAGTGAATAGACACGCCTGATATCAATGCATGGGGACCTAAGGCTGCAATCAAACCGAAAATTAAGGGTCAACCGAATCCCCTTTGGCCGGGAAATACGGACGACTTTATCAACAAGAGAAGAGTGGCTTGTAAGTAGAAACTGTCACAAACATCCAAGGCTCACGCTTTTTAAAGTCAACTGCTGACGTTTTCTAACCCAGACACCGCAAGTGATGCTATTCTCACGGCCCAAGCGAGTAAGTATTCTGCCTTGTGCCGGAGTGAAAGATATGCCATCACTTACCACATTTGACATTTGGCAACTCGATAAATACACTACTAACGCGTAATCCACAGCAAACCCCCGGCAGCCGACCGAGAACACCCCAGAAAGCTACGCGTGGGCCGCATTGGCCGTCTATCTTGCTGAGAACGGCGCGAAGATGGACTACTCGACTGGTCTTGCGAGGCCCTTGGGTGAGCCATTGACGTCCCCAGCCCCACCTAGAAGGTTCAGAAAGGATGCTATGGTGATAGCAAAGGACTTTGTTGCCTGATAGCATCATTTCATGGGCGCCGCCGGTATTTGAAAGAATGCCCGGGTCGTTGTTTAGGAAGGGGGGCTACCGCGTATCCAAGGTCGCTTGGGGAACTTATATAACTTGGAGAGACGATAGGCAAGGAGAGTTTTGTCGCACTATATTACTTCTAGTAGTTTCATAGTGGCATTAATACCATGAATCTCCGATTGCATCATGCGCCCGGGGACACTTTTGGGAAGCACCCCCAATTTGTATGATATGTTACTGTAAAAGAGCTCCAGGGCTATCGTGGAAGTAATTTCCTGAATTCGCGGGCACTAACTTGAATGCCGCTCAAGAGATGGGTAGAACAATGGCCGAAGATAAAGATCGATCTCAATGTGTGCCACATTGAATGCCTCCTTGACGCTAGGCGGAGCATCGTGAAGGCTAGCTGTTTTATGCGCTCTCATGGAAGGCGACCGTCCGCCATCTTCTTCAATCCGAACATATGATAGAATTTGCCGATGTTGAGCCAGCTCAGAGAGCCAAACGACGTTATCGACTTTGATTTCGGTGCTAAAAGCCTCGTCGTCGTCGGATACTTCTACTTCATCGAGTGATTTGAAAGCATATGAGTCGGACGCAAACAGTATCTTTGAGATAACTCAGATAATTCAGAACATAATCTCTACACACTGGTTTGTATTCTGCAGGTTGAGGGGATCATACCTCTAGGCTTTCTAGTGAGGGTGGTAGACGGGTATAGAGACCGTTTCGAAGGGCCGGATCGTCTTGCTCATCCTCTTCAAAGAGTAAAAGGCTGCTAGCCTTCAGAGATCTCACGTTCTTAAATTGGCTCAGTTCTAACGATCGTTCGGATTCGATATTGCCCAATGTGCTGTTAAACTCCATTGTGATAAGTGTTTGTTGACAGGACATCAGAGCCTGTGATAAATCAGCAGATGATACTGGGTCGTCGTTGAAGTTTTGCATGGGAGATATATTGCAGATAAAACTCTCTAGAGCCGAGCAAGCTGATAGGACTTGTCGCAATTCATGATTGCAGTTCGTGGAGATTGTCAAAGTGAGTTTCTTGAGAGAACTTGAATAGGGGTGCCTTGATGTGGACGGTAAGGCGTCACATCCGGAAGTCTCTTGTTGTCGATGGCATTTCACGGCCAGTCGCTCTAGACTGGGAAAGGAGACAAGCTTTGAGATTTCGCGGAAGCTTAGTCCCGGGTCGGTAATTGTTATGTTCTGGAGTTTAACAAGTGTAGTAGCACCCGTGTCAGGTTCTGTTGGCATGATCTTTTCGATGAGATTTGCGATATATCCCGTCCCCTTTTCCCAAAAATCCAGCGACAGATTTCGAAGGCCAGTGAGTTTCGCCAGAGTTTGCCGTGATTGGTGAATTTTAGCATCATTGGGGAGAAAAGCGCTAACGGTTAGAGATTGGGTAATGGTTGCTAGCCGCGGAGTTGCAATCAGAGTCCGGTGAAACAAATCGAGGATCTCCTGACCTCGGTACTCTCCGGAGCTGTAGAGCGTCACATCCCTGTAGATCCTGGTTAACACGAGAGCATAGATACTTTTATTTACTCGTGCAATTCTGGCGAGGTCATGCGTTCGAAGGTCCTTATCGGAAAGCACCTGGTCAATAATCTCGGGAGGAAGATGAGTCAAGGACATAGTTGGCGCTGAAAACTATACTCCAGAACAAGAGAAAAAGTCATTAGCGGAATTTCTCTGCCTTCCAAGAGAAAAGGTAATCTGCTGCCTACAATTGTACGTGGCCTTATCGCTTGTTTTCCAAGCGTCCCGGGCCGCCCAGGTGAATCGGACCCAAAAAAGAGAAGAAAAAAGAAATTACCAAAAGGTTTTCAGAGGAGACTGAAGTTGTTTGGCCGTGTATTAGATGGCCAGCTGAAATATACAGAGAACGCGAGACCGGAGAGGAGAGATAGATTGGATGTGGTGGGAATTGGGGGCGAGGCGAGGCTGACAAGGGAGAAGCTTAAAGCAGCGGATTGACTAACCCAGGTTGGGTTGGCTGTCACCATCCACTTCCTTCACCTTCACTTTACCAGCGGTTTATGTTTATTACGCGAATCGGGTTGGCAAATACTATTGTTAAGCAAGCAATTCAAGAACTTGAAATGTAAATAAGGTTCTTTCGCGCTTCTCCGAGCTCTTGGTGTCTTGGCAGTATCATTATTCATATTTGTCTACCATTAGTTACTGTCTTCTAGTTAATAGCAGCAGTACTAGTACCTACCCAGGATAGAATATAGTATTAGCTACTCTATTCCATCCCAGGTAGTAGGTACTAGTCAGCCATAGGAAGGCGGAGACTATAGAGGGCAACAAGGGACTAGAAACTTTTGCAGCGCTATAGAGGTAGATTAAGTGTATCCGAAGTTACATGGAAATTACATACTAATCTGGATTCAGAAGGGCCTATGGTCCATTTAGCAGGCGTCCCAAGGTTGACTCAGTCTGATATTTCTAAATATCTCTCCCCTTTCTTGATCCAATCTAGGGAATATCTAGGGCTCTCCCGAGCCTATACCTTCTCAACCTCTTCCACTTGCTCATCATTCATCGCTGTCTCCTTTTCGTTGGAAATAGCACCTCCTAAACCAGAGCCTACAAACTCCTTAGACCTCCAGGCAGGTAATTTGGCTGAAAATAACTCATCAATCTCCTCCAATCCCCTTCCTTTGAGTTCCGGCATGAAGAACCACACCCAAATAGCACCCACGCCAGCAAATGCTCCCCAAATATAACCAAGCTTGGCTCCAAGGTTAGCTCCAGGAGTTGAAAGCAGATACGGAGTAGTATAGACAACCACGAATCCAACCACAACATTGAATACCGTCGCGATCGCCATGGTTTTCTCTCTCAAGGTCGCAGTTCCTACCTCTGCAGCGGTAATATACGCTGCCGGACCTAAGATAGCGTGAATAACAGCGGCATATAGGATGAATGATGCCACCATACCATTATATATCACCAGCTGTTCGATGTGTCTTCGAGCCGAGACCACCAATAAGACAAAGGAAGATAGTTTGCAACCAGCATCCGTGGAATGTGACGTCGCGTCTACCAAAGGTATCAAAGAGAACCATACCAAGCATAGCCGTCACCACTGATACACCATTATTAATTGCCTAAAGTGGAGTCAGTCAAGCAAGCAGTAAAAGGATCCGTAGACACCTACTGCGTATGTGAATGCCATATCTCCTAGCCCAACTTTCTTGTAGAAAGTCGGTCCGTAGGAACTGCTGAACGTAACACCGGTGAGCTGTTGTAGAGCCATTATAACCAAGGGCAATTGATGTGCGGCGCCTGTTGACAGAGTTGAAGAGCGCAGACCATGGCGCCTTTTCGCTGTTGTTGTCGGAGCTTTCCAGGGCAACAACTTCAAGCTCACAGAGGCCGCTGTCACTTGCTTCCTTATTGCAAATGCGTCGCAACGCTTTCAATGCTTCGGAGCGTCGTCATTTAGAGATGAGCCCCAGAGGCGAATCTAATAATTTTAGCACTCGAACATTCACTAAGAACTTGAATACTATATATAAACTCACTTGGGGTGAAAGGAAGTCCCGCCAATATTATGACAGCTGGTATACCCTGGACGCCAGTTGCGATCATCCAGCCTGCATCTGTGGTATATTTGGACAGGTATTGGTTCGCAATGCCAGCGATGAGGGAACCGAACGTGAGGAAGAGTTGGATGGAGCCAACACAAAAACCTCGAAGAAGAGCTGGGCAAATCTCTGACTCATATGTAGGCACAACCTAGAGCATTTTGGTTAGCACATAAATTATTTGAAAATAAATCGATAACTCACATTCTCCACCAGTCCAACAGCAAGGTAAATTAGTATACGACCGACAATGAATTGAGCTGATGAATGGCTGGTCGCCTGAACTGTATATTAAATTAGCATATCTCAAAGGTAAAATCAGACATCGAAATTGACATGCCGACTGCGCCAAGAATATGAGTTACACATGTCACCATCATGGCTGAGCGATGTCCAAACCGTTCGATAAGGGGACCAACGACTATCGCTCCCAAAAACTTTCCCAGCAAGGCCAAGCTGGTGCGTGGTCAGTATTTTAGCATTCGTGCTCCAGTTTACTCCCATGCATACCTGTTCATCAGTGAAACCACCGTTGTCGGGATACTCCAAGAGCCTCCAGTCTGATCATATTCTCCGAACCTCTTGATGAAGGGATTAAAAGTCTGGACTCCGCCAAACGATGCACCGTCACTAGTTGGAAGTTAGAGAACATCCCCGGTTCATAAACAAATTCTATTGCTCATTAGCCTATATCAAAGTCAAATTAGCTGAACCTATCTCGTCGTATTGATTAGCAAAGGTTTTTCTTACCGAAGAAAATACTGCCCATGGAGTAGAGCAAGAAAATGCAGATTAGCTGAAAGGTGCATTCAGACCATGCCTGTTTGCTGGCATATAGTTTGCCTCCTCCGGCCATATTGCGTGGGTATCTTCTGAGACTGTAGGAGAAAGAATGAATTCAGAGGCTTCTCTCGAAAATTTTGCTCAAGAACGAAAGAGAATTATGTAGGCCTGTTAAAATGTGGGGTATAAGATGGAGAGATTTCAGAACGCGGAGGTGGGGGAAGCATTTACCCCCCAGGATTCATCTGGAGACCGAACTGTAAAGTTAGTACGGAGACTATTTGCCAATACATTCTCCGGGGCTCTCTCATTTCCAGAAACTTTCAAATAGGTAAGTTTTAGCATTTTTAGCATCCTGGTGACCACCTGGTGAGATGAGAAATGAAATATTGCGGAGAACTCGGGTGAACTCCGGGGTCCAGAAAGTGGCGATTGGTGCCTGGGTAAGGGTGGCTGGGTCTGGGGCCGAATTAGTATCGGTTTAGACCACAGGATTGCGGATTCCCCACGCTTTTCCCGCCGGTCTGCTGATTCTACTCACTACTTCGCTTAAACTTCGATTTCTTGGCCATTGAGCTTGCTTTCGTCCGGGAATTTTCCGTTGGTTCATTCAAATTCTCTTCTTGCTCAGGCCGAGTAAACCTTCGGGGCTGAGGTTCGTGTGGTTGCCATATTCTGACGGTCTGTCCCATACAAAACAACAACCGGTCACGTATGGCATTGTGCCCTTTCACTAGTTTTTATTGCAATGGGGACTGAGATATACGAGATTGCCGTTTATGGCTCCACGTCAGGAGCTGTTGCTTCTGCCATTCAAGCCGCCCGGCTTGGGAGAAAGACAGTCCTCATATCCCCACACGAGCATATTGGTTGGTCTGCCCCAAAACACACCCAGGAACTAACTAACTTTTGATCGCTCTGAATTATAGGTGGCATCCAGGTCGAAGGCCTTGGGTCTACCGATATCGACAACCAGATCGAATTCAAAAACAGCCCCTCGGTTGGAGGTCTCGCACTCGAACTTCACCGAAGACTTAGCAAGCAATATGGCAGACTTGAGCGGCTAGAAGAGGTACTTCAGAAGGGTGAAAAGGTACCCGAAGTGTGGAAATTTGAGTCACATATCTTGGAGCAGGTGATATTGAGTTGGCTGGCTGAGTTTCCATCGCTCTCTGTTTTCAAGGGATCTCTTCGCAGCGACAGCTCGGCAGTGGAGAAGAGTGGTAACACTGTCACTGCCTTGAGATTAACTAATGGTAAAACTATACGGTCAAAGGTATTGCCTACAACGCTTCAAATACTAGCACTCAATCTGACCACATTTTAGTATTTTATCGAAGCGTCATATGAAGGCGACTTCTTCGTCGCTGCCGGGATATCTACTGCGCTGGGGCGAGAATCCTCAGCGCAGTACGATGAAAGCTTAGCAGGAGTTCGAGATGACACGCGATATACCCAGTTCGAAGTCCCAGTTGATCCCTATGTCGTACCCGGAGACCCGTCAAGCAGGCTTCTGTACGGTATCTCGCCAGAGCCATTTGGTAAACCTGGGGGTGGAGAACAGTATCTAGCTGCCTACTCTTACCGGCTCCCTCTGACAGATATGGAAAGCAAAAAATTTGCCCATATACAAACCAGAGGGGTACGAGCGCTCTCACTACGATCTCCATCGTCGATATCTGAAAGCCGGTGGCAAGATGTACACGCCGCGTATCAAAGGGATTCCAAACCGGAAGACGGATCTCATAGGATCAGAAGCTGTATTGTGTACCGATTTACTTGGTATGAACGATGGTTGGCCTACTGCAGATGCCGAAGACCGACAGAAAATCCTTGACGAAACAGCCACCTTCACCCAAGGTCTCATCTGGTTCTTTGCAAATGAGAAGCTGTCCCTGTAAGTGCGCTCTCGTTTATTTTTATTATCAGCGACGCAATTTAACAATCCAGGCCGATATTCGCCGCGAATGGTCTCGATTTGGCTACTGCCTTGACGAATTCCCAGACAACAACCATTTCCCTCGACAGCTTTACGTTCGCGATGCACGGAGAATGGTGTCCGACTATGTTGTTACAAAACACACCGCTTCCGAGCATGATGGAGAAGAGCACGATCTATGCCCCGTCGCAATTGCATACTGGCCTACAGATACACATTGCGCACGTAGAGTGGTCCGAGATTGTCTCGCACATAATGAAGGCTTCATATTCAAGGACAAGCACCAGTGGCGGCCCTTTGGTATCTCTTATCGGTCCTTGGTACCCAAGAGGGATGAGGCTGTAAATGTCTTGACGGCTACTTGTCCAAGCTCTTCTCGCGTTGGATACGGTATGTTTTAAACCCAGAAATCCGATATGATTGAAACTTACAATTCATTTAGGGGCTGTTCGGATCGAACACCAATTCTATGAGCTAGGACAGGCATGTGCAAATGCTTGCGATATTGCGCTAAACGACGTTGGTACTCAGGGTTCGGTCCAAGATGTTCCATACAGTGTACTCCGGGAAAGGCTGTTGGACCAAGAAGCTGTTCTCGATGTCTCCCTTGTCGGAAAGCCAGATTTCAGCCTTCTGTAAATGCCAGAATCTCAAATTTGGCATTATCAAATCACTAGTAATTAGATTCGCCCTGCTCGACCAAAGGGGAATGATATCGTCCCATCCTCCGCCGGGTTCTTCATCTCTACTTGGAGCAATTTACTGTATACAAGCTTTAACGTGACGCAGAAATGATGAATTAACACCCGACATCAATTCCCTGCTTCATATAAGTTCCAGGATCTCGAATCTGGTTTCGAGAACTGCGGTGGTAGTTTCACCGCATTTGCAACGGTGTGGCGTACCCCACGTCATTGCCACTTCTAAACAAGTATAGTCGGCACGATGGATACAAAAGAAAAAGAGTGGAAACATGCGAGTATTTTGTTCCTCTGCTAAGTTTTAATTTCACATACAACCGCCATCGCATACATATATTGAATAATAGAACATATCTTCACTATTCAATATCGATCATTCTCGACAAAGCCTAGCAAGGTCACTTCAGTACCAAAATGACGTCAGTCATTGCTTCAATCAAAGACTTGATCTACTCGGTCTTTGAGGTCATATTCTCTACCATCAAGGCCTCATTCGATGCCGTCTTCTCTATCTTCCATTCCCTTTTCGCTTCTATCTTCTCTGTTTTTGGAATACTCTTGAACACTGCCAAAGACGCCGTAGGGGCGGTAGGTGGAGTTGGCAAGTTCATTGCTAGTAAGAACCTCAACAACGAATTCGCGACCACATATGGACTAACATGTGACAAAAGGCAACATATTCGTTCTTGCCTTTGTTGGTATCGGAATTTATGGTTTCCTGAACTACAGATCGCGTCAGGGTCGGCCAGTCAAGGTTGGAAACAAGAAATTGAACTAGTCTCTGAGCCTGGTACCACAATGCTCTTGTCTTTCCGGGGTTTGAAATAGGAATCGTCTCCAAAGGCGCAATCAAATGAATGGATCTATTTAGCATTTTGTTTACCAACATTTTTCACAAATTGGAAGCTTAGAGTGAGATACAATGAGATAGCTGCTCAAATTTATGAAAGCGCTTATTTGTACTCGCAATACCTCGCCTTCCAACTGCCTAGCAGAATTCTAAGGTTGTTGCTTTTTAATTCTAAGATACAAAATGGAACTTCATACACTCCAGGGCTTTTCCGAACCTGATTAACTGATAGCAAGTGTGTATTCCCCTTTGCAGGTGATCTACAATACTCAGCTTGTACGAAAATCCTCTGTGCGCCCTGATCGCGCTGATCAAAGCCATGGTAAGCCTCCTCGATATATTCAAGGTGGTATTAGTGAGAAACCACTGGCAGCATGATAGTATTAAGCCGGTTAGTCTCATTCATTTGAATAAATTTGGAAGACTCATAAAACTTTTCCAGTGTCAGTGAACAAACACCAGTTTCCATAAGAGCTCCAATCTTAAAACGATTGGTCTTTGTTGTAAAGATCCGAACAAATTCGCGCTTGCTCATTTTCCAAGGGTCTTTCTCTGTGATCTTGAACAGTAACTACTAGTGATACCGCCAAGCGCTACAGTTTTCAACCCTATCCCATGCCAAGAGTTTTCGATACTGATAAGCTGCGCATCGATAAGGAGCTAACCCCAGACGGTTCTTGGATCCGGGGTCATCTGCATGGCTGAATATGGTTGGACGGCGTTATCTTTCTAAGAAATGTAAAGCGGTTCCCGAGCCACTTGGGGTTCTTGTTCACATTCTTATCAGATTTTGCTTTCTTTATCGATGTGTGTTTCAAGTTCAATCCATGACAAATTTCCCTTCAATAGCTTCCAATTGGCACTGGCAGTTAATTTTCCATAGTTGAGAATACGAACTGGAGTTCTTGGCATTCGCCATACTTAGTAGATAGAGATAACAATACAGAAAATAGGAGATTCCCCAGCTGTTGTTTATAACTTCTAGAGAGCCCGCTAGGAAATCGCTAGGAAATCGCTACCAAAGCATATTGAAGTCACATGTCTTAATACCAACCCACTGCCAATTACTGGTACTAATTAGCCCAGGATTGGATTGGAAAGATCCGACCAGTAACTCTATAACGATCCAGGTGCAAGGATTCTGGGTCTCCACTGCCAAAATTATGCCCCCTAGGATGGCTGATGCTGTACGATCTTTCAATTATACCATTGAATATGTTCTCTCCTCTAATATATTCTCCACAGCCCATTTACAATGTCTCCCTCCCTTCGGGAGGAGACCCCCTCAAAATTGACGTGAATGCTCAATATGCGGGACTCGAATGGAACTACATCTATATCGTTTTCTGCGGCTTTATCGTATGGCTTATAATTCCCGGCATCGGTCTCCTGTACAGCGGCCTTGCGCGAAGGAAATCCGCGCTGGCTTTACTTTTCCAATCACTCATGATTGTTGCAGTGTACGACTGTTTTTTCTGGCGCTGATACAATACATTGTGCTAATATGCGGATAGAACTACATTCCAATGGATGTTTTGGGGATATTCTCTGGCATATGCCCGTGATGGTGGACCATTCTTTGGGAATCTGAAGAACTTCGGACTCAAGAATGTTATGGCAGCGCCGTCTCCGGGCTCCGATGTCCTTCCGGAGATTGTGTTTTGCTTTTACCAGCTTTTATTCTGCGCATGCACGGTAAGCAAAAAGTAGAATCGATTATTGATGTATGGTTAGGCTAATAATGAACTTCTATAGGTGATGATAGTCGTTGGCGGTGCATTCGAACGAGGCAATATGCTCCCTTCGTTGGTTTTTAGCTTCTGCTGGGCAACTGCTGTTTACTGCCCGGTCGCGTACTGGACCTGGAACAGCAATGGCTGGCTTTACAACCTACCGTCCCTGGATTTTGCAGGAGGCGGCCCCGTGCATATCGCCTCGGGCTGGTCCGCCCTTGCATATGCCCTGGTTCTAGGGAAGAGGAAGCATCTCGATGAAACGACCCATGGAAAACCCCACAATACTACATTGGTCTTTCTGGGGACGACGTTGATCTGGTTCGGTTGGTTTGGATTTAATGTATGTTGTTTGGCAAGGTTTTAAAGTGCTATGGCTGACCCACTGATCTTTTTAGGGAGGATCTGCTCTGAATGCGAGTGTAAGAGCCATGTTGGCGGCATTCAATACAAACACAGCCGCTTGCATGGGTGTGCTGGGATGGGTTCTGGTAGACTCTACTAAGAACCGAGGGAAATTCTCTGTGGTGGGAGCATGCGAAGGTGCGATCGCTGGGCTTGTCGGGATCACTCCAGCTGCAGGATTTGTCTCGGTCTGGTTGGCAGCTGTCATTGGATTCCTGACTAGTATTATCTGTGCAATGCTGCAAGATGTCAATAAATGGCTTCGTATTGACGAAGGTATGGATGTCTTTAAGCTGCATGGGATTGGCGGGATGGCCGGTGCATTTCTGACAGGCATCTTCGCGTCGCGATCAATTGCGGCGCTCGATGGAGCGACCGAGGCGGCCGGTGGTATCGACGGCAACGGAATTCAGGTCGGAAAGCAGTTTGCAGAGATCTGTGCGATATCTGCTTATTCGTTTACGGTCTCGGTCTGTCTGTTGGTGGTTATGAAATGGATACCTATTCCATGCATGAGCCTGCGAGTACACGAGGAGGCGGAAATGATTGGCTTAGATCGAACGCAATTTGTTGATGAGCAGATCGGCGAACGAGCCATACTAGATGATCTCTTCGCGTCGTCATCACCCGCATCTGCAAGCGTAGTGGTGAATGAGAGTCCAGGGTCGGTCGTTGGATCCAAGGTGCTTAAGGGTTAAGCGGTATATATTCCGAAAAAGGCCAATGGCCAAGGGGTGGGGGATGTCACTTCCTAGAAAGAGAAAAAACAAAGACAGATCATAACCATCCAATCAAACGTGCTGACGACGAGGCTGAAAGGTGGGGGGTTCTGTTTTAGCGACCGCAGATCTTTCAGACGCGGGAGGGACCCTGAATGACGCGAGAACAATAAAAATAAAACAAGGCCGGCGGCGTCCCACGGCTTGACCCACGGGAAGTTTTGATCTGCCCAGCCGCGTGGACATCCTCGTACTCATACATGCACCAGGAAGGAGAGGTTCAAAGTAACCCTTGTGTATTTGGTTGGTCTGAGGGGTTGCTTTTGTCGTTTTCTTGTGACCCCCTCTTCTTGGTGTCTTTCATTTGACGGGGTTGGTGCGAGAGGGAGTGGCCCCGCGATATAGATGCGGAGGCCGCCAAGAGAAGCGCGTTGGGGCCTGGACGTATCAGGATGTAGCATGGGCCAGGGTGGTCGGCCCCATCTTCCCGGGGGAGGAATGAGCTGACGTACGCCGACGCACAAGGCGGCCCCGAAGTCCCCCAAAGCCCTACTAGAGTGGGCTAGTGCGAGTTGCGGCGTCCCTGTGGAAGGGCGAGATCAGCGACTGGGCAAGGGTGAGCTGCGATTGCACTGAAGGTGCGACATCGCGGAGAATGCCGTGGTGACGAATTGCCTGGAATAGAGTTCCGGCAGCTTTCACGTTTTGACAGTATAGTCTGGGGGAGGGGGGAGACTCAATAACGAGGATTGAGTGAGTGGATGAGGTGGGTGAAAACGAAGGAAGTGTGCACTCGCGTGTGTGTGTACTAGTATGTGTACTAGTATGGCGTAGTGATGTGGAAGTGGAAGTGTAGGATGTCTTGGTCGGAGTGAAAGTGGAGGTTCTCCAACGTCAAAGGCAAAGAGGCAAGAGCGGGACCCGGTTGAAAATACCTATTGTATGGTATTGTCACTGTATCGCACTTGCCACATTCAGTGTTACTTTTTACCCCCTGTCACACTCTGTCAAAGTCAAACGAGGGTCTCGCCCCCCGTCACACTTGGTATTACCTTTTAGATGTCGCGTCGCCGTTTTAAGTCAAGGCCAAGACCAAAGCCTCTCCTTATCTTTCCTCCTCCTCCTCCATCCTCTTCGTCGCATCGCTTCCCTCTCCTCCCCGTCACTCGTTCGTGGGGTTCGCTCTCGTCGCTTCATTGCATTCGCTTTTACCTTGTCATGATCTACGTTT